GAGTGGTCTGATGGCTCTCGCCAGACTGTCTGAGATCAATGTCTCCACTGAGGGAGTGATGGGAGCTAAAGACTTCTTTGAAGCCAAGGTATGGTGACAATTTTGTCATACTTAATCTCACAATTACACCTTCAGACTAGCTATATTAAGTTTGGCCATAGCTTGTGTAGGGCCATGTTCACCCATTTTATCATTTTTACTCACTAGCTCATTTCTAGAGACACAGACACAACAATAGTGGTAGACATGCATTTGTACTATGGAACTCTTAATGTCATAAAAAGAAAAGCTAAAAATCATCTTAGGTTTACATTTTAAATGTATAAATTGAACTCTAAGCATCTGGCCGGAGACAGAGGTCCCCTGTCTTAAACTGGCATGTCCCACTATATAGATGCAGCCATTATAAATTGCTGGCTGGACAGTAGAACTGTGCCCCATCTGTGACACGTCCCTGCACAGCCCCTACTCTTAATGTGTAGCCCCATGATGATGCAGTGATCATAGCACCACCTTGTTAACGCCCCTAAGCACTGTGTGTGCAAGCAGTTCATAGTGTTGTATATATCCACCAGTGTTTGTTTAAGTTTACTGAGGAGGCTGACTGATAATTTGATCCTTCTGTTAATATCAAGATCTGCTGGTGGGTGAGTATAGTACGACCTCCAGACCAAGCTGAGGCACCTGGTTGGCAGTGGCTGCCTACTTATTAATCAAAGTCCATGTCTGTAATAGCTGTTTTGTTACACTTACATGCTCAGATCTGAAACGCCTTTTGAAACATCATGCCACTGACAGTTATTGCATTATGTCTACGTTTTTTTTCTTTGTTAAATCAAGGTTGTCAACTCTAAGCTATAGAAAAGAGACATACTCCCTCTTCTTAAAATTCCATTCCTATATAGCCTGTGCACCTACACTGCAAAAGGTGCTGATCATCACATCTGATGTTTGTCTCCATGTCCCCTCCTGGAGATGACGCTCTAGTTTGTCAGTCTGGTTGATCTGAGTTTTGTACTGTCACTTGTCTTTTGTAAACGGAGTCTGTAGTCAACACTAAACTCTGTCACTGTGAACCATCCACGTCATCAAATATGTGGTTGAACAAAACAAGCAAACACTTGCGGGTGCCAATTATGCATTGGAGTGCAGGCTGTTTGAGTCGATGTTGTGAATCAATCACAACACCTCGGACTTTATTATCACGACTTGGAGCATTCCATTTTGCAGGATATACACTTTACTGGTAGTTGGATCTTCAAGCGCCCACAATAATGCCACATTATGAATTTCAACCAGTTTATTCCACTAGGCCTATTCTTTATCCTCTCTTGGTGGAAAAAAAAGGTGGTGGAACATTGTTCCGGTGCGTTCCAGCAGCACTACACTTATGGTTAATATGTCTCTTTTGCTTTGTCAGTATTACATTATCAATAAAATGTTCCCAGCCAATGTATCTTTTCTACAAAAATATCAGATCTTCCAGCACATGACTCTCATAGATAGAGAAAAACTGAAAAATGACACAAAATTCAAGGTGGAGTTGAACTCAAGCCGCGTGTGAGACAAATCTGCGTTTTATGCTTTCGCTGCCTCCCCATTTGCCTCTCGAAGTGAAGAAGCAGACTATGAGCTAGTAATCTGTACATTAAGGCAGTGCAGTGATACCCAGACGTTAAACCTTCGTTCTGCCCCTTGTGTTTTAATGAAGCTGTAATGACAGTATTGTTTTACAAAGGCCACTGCGGCTCTGTGATATGTCAGATTTCCAATGAATGCTCACAAAGAAGATATCTTCTTATTATTTCTTAATGTAACTTAAGCATGTTAACCATATTTAATCTTTGACTAGAAGTCGGAAACCCAGTGTAACAGGTAATAATTACTTATCTGGCGCAGTACCTGTATGATAAGGATTGTATTCAGACAATTCTATTGTATAGACCGTGGCCTAAACAAAAAGACGACTTTGCAGTGTGAATGCAGTACTTCAGGCAGTCACACTCTGGTTTGTGTTTTTTGAGAACAAAGCGCCATCTAATGGTATGGAAGCCCATTTCTGCCAGTACAAAAAAAAATTTTTGATCTACAGTCATAATTATGAGATAAAAAGTTGAAATTTCAACTTAGTAAGTCAAAATTATGAGATAAAACGTCGAAATTTCGACTTAGTAAGTCAAAATTATGAAATAAAAAGTCGAAATTTTGACTTACCTAAGTCATAATTATGAGATAAAAAGTCAAAATTTCGACTTAGTATGTCATATTATGAGATAAAAAGTCAAAATTTCGACTTAGTATGTCATAATTATGAGATAAAAAGTCAAAATTTCGACTTGCCTAAGTCATAATTGTGAGATTTTTAACATTTAACTTTAAGCATTTCTCAAGGCAACATTTCAGTGAATTTTCCAAGGAGATGGATTGTGACTACATTGATGATTACTTTAAGCGTGGCTTTACCACAGAGGAAATACTTCATTTACTCTCTGATTCTCACGGGATTGTACTAAGCAAGCGCACCCTTGAGAGGATTTTAAGCAAGAAGCAGCTCTGGCGTCGAAAGAACAAAACCAGTGTGGCTGATGTGGCAGCTTTCATTGAACAGCAACTGGAAACATCTGGTCAGTCTCATGGTTATAGATGGATGCACCAAAAATGTTGGCTGCATGGAATTGTAACTGACAGAGAAACTGTTCGAATTCTGCTGTTTATTGGATGGTGAAGGTGTTGATCTGAGGTCGAGAAACAGACTGCGAAGGCGCGTGTATCACAGCTGTGGTCCAAACTATGTCTGGCACATTGATGGCTATGATAAGCTTAAGCCATTTGGCATTGCAATAAGTGGATGCATTGATGGGTTTTCAAGAAAGATGATCTGCCTTGAAGCTTACAAAACAAACAATGACCCAAAGGTCATTGCCGGCTACTACATGGATGCTGTAATCAGCGCAGGTGGATGTCCTGCCCGAGGCAGACTTTACTTAGG